GATTCATCTTTCTGCAGAGTGACACCTGACCCTCCAATAGCCTCTTTTGTACAATTACACTGGTCTATATAAAGTGCTGCCTCTTGGAAAGTATTTTGAAGAGATTACTTTTCAGTTTTCATTGAGGGCCATAAATTGAGCTGGTATTTAATCGAATCTAAAGTGTATTTCTAGGGCTGCTTGGCAAGTACTTCAGCATCAGCCAGAGACCCCTTAAAATAAAGGGATTATTAGGAGCCAAGTGTTAAATTACCTGATGCTTGTTAATTGAACTTGAGAGGATTTAGTGAGCAACTGGTTCCAGCAGGGAGCAGTACTGTGGTATTAATGGAGTTTATATTAGTAAATATAATATTGCATAGTGAAGTTCCCCTCATACTCTCCAACACCTCATTTTTCATTGTGCAGAGAGACTTCTGTAACCATTTAAAGAAACTCAAAGACAGGTCAGATGATGGACACTCAACAGTGAGTTTTGGGTTTGGTATTTCAATCTGGAGGGAGAAAGGAAGATTTTTTTTAATAATCAGGATCAGAGACTACAAAACTGGAATCCCATCATTCTGTTGTAATTGCTTTTCCACTCCTTTACCACAGAATGATTTGACCTGAGATAGAATAAAATAATCTAGTCTGAACCCTTGCATGAGTCCTTGTGTAAGCTGAACGCTCTTTAAGGGAGGGGATGACAGGATTTGTAGTCCCATACATCCGGAGGACATCAGCTGGCTTGTGATAAATAATCAGACTGCAGCATGTCACCAACAGAAGCTCACAATGTACAATCACAAACATTTCAGTGGAACAAGATTTTCTGCTTGGCATTGACCATCTGAGTTAGAATTAGATTTAAAGAGGCATGAACCATACCTCCTAAAGCAGAATTTGCAAGGTCTGTAAAACAGACTCTGTACCTCATTTTTTTTTTTAATGAATGTGCTTCTTGTTTTGAGATCCTGATTTCAGAAGGACTGTAAGAAAACAAATGGCTGTTATCATTGTCACCTACAAGAGACACCCACAGAAACCTGAACAGGGCACAACTGTGAAGGCTTCAAGGCAGCAAGGCCTATCAGAAATGGGAAACCTCATTGTAGCTATGAAAATTTCATCAGCTGGCGCTAGGCAGGCAAGAATCTGGAAGTGTAGAGCAGATGGGCAGCCTGGATTCTTGGAGCCATTGTCTTTCTGCGTGTTATTTGACTCCAGTGCCGAGAGAGGATTTGGAGAATTTATGGACGGCCAAGTATTGAGGGCCTTTCTTGAAATATCCCTGTCTGATGTATGACCCGATGCGGCACTGACTACCAGCAGCAGTATAGCTGTAGCATTGTCTCTTCCCTTGCACAGTATATTTCCAAGGTCACACCAGTGAGACCCAGCTGAGTGCTCCTTCTTTCCATTACATGTGAATTCTGTATAGATTTAACTACATCAGTGCTTGCTGTTGGGCTGTGAATCCTGAAGAGCCTCTGTTACAAAGAACAGCAAGTTTACATGCTATCCAAACAGTTTGCATGTTTTTCAGTACAATGAAGAATGTTATTTGGGTATCTCTCTCTCACACATACACCCCCCTCAAAAAAATTTAATTCACATATGCAATATTTTACCTGCATTCTATGCTATTACAGTGCAATCCTCTGCAGATCTATTCAGCAGTAAGTTTCATTTTTTCCAATGATGCTTATTCCCTGATAAGTGTGTATAGGAGTATACTGATGGTCAGTGTGTTATAGTTATGGTACTGCAGCTGCACTGGAGAGTGGGATTCAGATCCTGCTTGATCCTGAAGCTCGTTGCTTTTATGGCTAAGCTGCCACACACAGAGTTGTAATGTGGGAAGGGAACAGTATAAACTGTCTCCTGCCCAGAAGAAGAAATGTGAAGCACAGATGTAGTTAACAGTAACAAATAACAATGGAAATTTAAAACAGTTCTAAGAGTTGCTTAGAGAAACTCTGAACAGGCCTTGATGTCATCAGTCTGTTGGCCACCATGTTCTTTCTCATATCAGAAATTTAAAAACACACTTGTGTTTATCTAATGTAGTTTCTTCCACACTCCACCCTGTTTAGCCCTATAGTCAGAAGAATCCGTTGTTTGTCACGTTATGCCTGGTGCCATAGCAACCAGTTGTACGCCTACATATGTAAAGCCCGATCCTATGCAGAGCTGGGCATGCCTCTAAGACCTTTGAAATTATTGTGCTTGGACATGCCTAACTCTGCATAGTTCTGGGCTTGTACAGTTGGAAGAGTGATCCTGGAAGAGGTCCAGTTTCATTCTTATGATAACCGCATTGTTTTCTCTTATACAAATACACATCTGCATGTGTTCCAAAGCTCACTATATGTGTAACACTAAATGTTTGCTTGATCTGGTGAGTGAGAGAAATAAACAGCCAAGGGCATCAGCCAAAAACTATATGGTGTTTCAGAAAACAATCTTGAACTTATGCTCACTACCAAGCATCACAAAAATATTACGGAGATTAAAACCAGCTTCTGTAGGGCTGCTGAAAGACAAAGAAGTGCTAGCTTTGCTCTACCTGCTTTCTGCCCGCCAGTGTCCTCCCAAGTCTGGTAAAGAGGTCTGAAGTTTGTAGGAGCCAACACTGTGAATGTACATCAAACTCCCTGAATCTGGCACCCTCCAGAATGGTTGGACTACAATGCCTATTGTCCCCAGTCACCACAGCTGTTGACATTTCATAGCAGTTCTCCTTCCCATGGGTGTGTCCATTGGCCACAACTAAATTTTATGATAGAATTGCACTTGATTCAATTCCCTAGGTAAAGTTCCTCACCTGTAGGATTTATATCAGGCATTTAAAAAATACAATGGTGCAAGGAAACAGTTCAACATGAGAGTGATACCAAGTGAATTGCCTACTATAGAAAAACAAGTGACAGATCAAATAAAATAAAGGAAGCTAGGCTTGTTCATGAGAACTACCAGAATCTATCATGAGGCAATACCTTTATTATGACCAATCAAATATGCACAAAATTAGAGGCAAGCTTTCAAGATCTTCAAATTTCATCAGGCAAGGCATTACAAATAGGTTAATTACATACTCTTATGTATTCTTATGCAGGAAAAAAGCCTACACATCCCATCATTCAGCAACAAGCATGGTTAGCTGGAGAATGCTAGGAGCTGTAGGACTTTTTTCTGCCTAAACATGCATAGGATTGCAGCCCAAGTGGGTAAAAAGAAGTTAAAGTCATGAAAAATGAAGCCACAAAATCTGCATGGTTAGAGTCTGAAGATGCAGTAGAGGAAGAGATGTAGGCTCAAGTCAAGTAGGCTCAACTAGATGTCATACAAGTTTAAGATTACATTCTGAATGGTTGGAGTAAAGATGATTGGTACCATGGCTGAACCCTCCATTTTTGAAAATGTAAAATTCACTTGCTCTTTAGGTTTATCTCCAACTTTAGGCAACATAAGAGACAGCATTGTCTCCTTCAGCTTCCAGCTAAAAATTAAATGATAACTCAATGACACTTCTCTCCCAAAGGATGTGAGTGGTTTACCTCCCTTACAGACAACAATCCAGGTGTTGTTGGACAATAATTCCCACAATTTCTGATGATTGCCCATGCTGACAGGGGCTAATGGGAGCTGAAGTCCAAGACATCTGAAGGGCAACAGGCTGAGGAAGGATGCCCTAACCTTTTAGAATAGTACAACATTTTAGCATAGTTGGGACTTCAGACAGGCTGGATTTGACTTGCTGGCCTGAGGTTCAACATGCCTGTGATATACCAAGTGATAATACTTTATGCATCTGATGAAATAGGTACTGGTTCATAAGTTTATGCCTCAATGAGAGTGCAATTCAATGTACATTTAGGCAGGAAAAAGCTTCAGCAATGGCTGGCTGGAGAATGCTGGCTGTTGTGGCGCTTTTTGGTCTAAAACTGCATCAGAACGCATTCTAAAGGTGCTATCTTTTAAAGTGACATTCTTTTGTTTTCAAAAATTTTGGAAATTATTTGGAATTTCTAAGTTTATGCGAAAAAAGAAACCTCTAGCTTCAGTGATGTGTCTCACAGGCTTGGGGTGAAGGTAACTGTAAAACTCACCGCAGATTAAGAGTCCAAAATAGCCATTCACTTGGGCATGTTTACCGTAAGTCCCAATTATCTTTTTTCAGTTTCATTCCCAAAAAGGTGCGGAGAAGTGTAACCTGCTTAAGCCCACTCAGTGGGCCGCTGAGTATGGTCAGTATTCCACTACAGAAACGTTATTTGAACGATATAAGGCAGGGGTCTCAAACTCACGGCCCGCGGGCCAATTGCGGCCCGTGGGATGATATTTTGTGGCCCCCCACTTGATATCAAAGTTTAGTGATAGTGCAGCCCGTGCGTTTTTCTCACACGCACCTGCATGAGTCGTTACCCTGGGCGCACTGTTCCCTCTAAGCTGTGCGCCGGACGGGTGGGGCACGGGGGAGGGGCCCTGTGGCCTTCAAAGCACCCGCGGCGGCCGGGCTGGCCTCCTGGAGCGACGAGGGATGAGCCGCCCACCACCACCGCAGTGAATACTTGATGCGGCCCAGCCTCACCCAGACTCTGCTTCCATCAGCCCCCAGGTAAGTTGAGTTTGAGACCCCTGATATAAGGTCATGTTAAACAAATAAATAAATAAAGCAAGCAAGCTGTGGGTTCTCAATGACACAGAGCCGTGCCCAAGTTGTTAATCTTAACAAGTCCCATTTATTTGAATAGGACTGCTCTAAGTAGAACAAACACCCGAAGCAAGTCTGATATTTTTAAAATGTATGTGAAAAGTCTTTCTTTAGACTTCAGCCCGGCTTCACCTTATTCCCCCCGCCCCCCGTAGCAACACTGGTTACCATCTCAAAGTTTTCCGACGTTCGCCCCCACTTTCCCACCCCTCCGCGCCGAGCGGCTGCCCCCCTATTTTCGGGGTGATGATGCAACTACGCCTGTACGTGGGGATTCCACTGGATTACCCAGCATGCCCCGCGGCAAAATGGCGGCCTGAACCGAGCGCATGGGTCCTGGTCGAGTTAGTTGGTTGGCTGGGTGGGTGGCTGGGTGGGGGAGGTAAAGTTTGCGGCGGGTGCTGAGCGCTTTCTCAATGGCGCCGTCAGGGCCGGGCGTCGGGCAGAAGTACGCCCGTCCAGCGCAGCCGAGTGAGCAGAAGGCCTCTTAACCCCCCGGCGCCCCTCAGTGCATAATAGTCACAAACGCTCCACAGTTTGAAGAGCTGCGGGGGCTTCTTTCGCGTTGCTGCCAAGAGCTCATTGCAGCTTCCTCCCGGTGGCGCTTCTTCGCTTCAGAGCCCGAACCTGTCGAGGTAATCCTCAAAAGTAACCCCGGAGAAGGTCCCTTCTCTCGCAGCTACTGAACCGTCCGGGTAGGAGGGGAAATGGGCGGGAACTAGCCTAGCCTTGGCTCCAGTCTCCAGCTTTTGCTGCGGCTGGAGTACCTGAACTTCCTCCTCCCAAGAAGAAAGGTACGGTATAGTTAGCACCATCCCCAAGAAACCTTGTGCGCAAACGTAGCTCGGGGTTGGGGCGGGGGCGTCGGGCGACGCAGTCAAATCCGTGTGGGGGAAGTGATACCATCTCGTACAACGCTTGATGCCGGCGTCCGTCCCTCGCTTCCCCCTGCCCTATTCCCTTTGCTCGCGGTGCTTTTCTGTCTTCCTCGCTGCACCTGTGATGGAGCTGAGGTTTCTGTGGGAGCTACTTGGGATTGGAAGTAGTATTGATAGTTGTGGGGGAATAGATTCCCAGAGCTGAGCCGCCCACCGAGAGGAAATGTGGCAAACTAAAATGGAGGCTAAATGTGACTTGCCTTGGGAAGTGGTCAAATAGTTAAAGAAGGAGAAAGATCCCAGAACAGTCAGCTTCTGAAAGTGTCAGGAAAGCAGCTCTTAGATACCTTGATGCAGAAATCATGTGGATTACACTTTTAGAAATTACTTTTATATTCTGCCATGAAGAAGCTGAAAGCAGCCTAAATTGCCCCCTCCTATTTTATTCCACCAACAAGCCTGAGAGATAGGTTGGGCTGAGACATAACTATTGGCTTGGAATTACACACTTGAACATCATGGCTGAGGTGAGCTGCACTTGGGACTCCTAAAGTCTAATGTAACACAGAACTACACTGGTGAGCTCATAGATGGGCTATATACACCTACACTTACATTGGCCAAACCCTCTAGCTGCTGAAACCAGCATCATCCTGACATCATGTTTGGTCCTCATTTCACTTGTAATTTTCTGCTACAGATCTTTATCTCCCCATGCCCAACACATTTTGCCTCTTCAGTTGGAGAAAAAAGATCTTGCTTATTTGTGTGTGGAAAGAAGATGAATGAGGATGGGATATATATGAATAAGCTTGTGGGAGAGGGTAGCAACCCATTACGAGGAATGCACTCTTCAATTTATAGTTTGCAAAGGTAATGCCTAAGTATTCCACCTACCACACACACATTTATCATTTTGAGTTTGCTAGTGTTTGTTCCATTTTGGTAGTTTCTGAGATAACTTATGACTCTGTAAAAGATTTCTGCTTGTGACAGAATCTTCAGTCAGTCTCTGAACACTTCTCCCATGTCTCCTATGGATTTGCTTTTTTAATGTAGTTTTGAGTGGATACTTAAGATGAAATATTTTTGTAGCGCTGTGATTTTTAAAATTTATGTATTATAAGCTATATACAGAACCTTACGGTGTTACATAGGCAGACTATAGGCAGTGCCCAAAAAGGAGTTTATAGTGTAAGAGAGACATTGTGGAAATAAACCAGGAGAAAGACAAAGAAACATAAAGACAGATGTAGTAAATTTAGTTACATATATGTAAAGGTTGTTTGCAATGGGAACAAGGAGTAAGAAAAAAACACCAAGGAACAAATGGAAGCATGTGTGTCTGGGGAGAGGGGATCTGAAATGAGATTTAAAGCAGGAGAGGGGGTGCTATGTAGATGTTAAAAGAAGAAGCTCTGCTTTTATGTTATATGCTCTAAAGGGCATATATGGCTTGGTTACTCAGTACTGGTGACCTTTAGATATCGGGGTGCACTTTGCACATACCCAACCACTGTAGGCTAAGGACTGTTTGGGTCATCGGTAGGAGAAGTTATAAGTTATACAGGAGGGTCGTCCTTTATTTTTAATAGATCTGTAGCTGTTAGAATATCAGCTTTTTCTGATTAGTTCTGTGTGCCTGTACCATTTCACTAGTTTAGTGGTTTCCAAATTTCTTAACTTGACAAAACTCATTATGCATCTGCTGAGGAACTTTTTTTCAAAAGGTTCTAGGGAGTTTTTCAGGACACAGAAAACGCATAGGGGTGTGTCTCATCACACATGCATATGAACTCAGGCCTGGTCTAAACAACCAGCTAAATGGAATGGTAGAAAGGATTTTTATTGTTTAAACTACTGCTGGGATGCTATATTTATGGTTGTTCATGTAAAAATACTCCAGGTAAAACACAAGCAGGTCAATGTAAGAGTGTGCATCAGAAGACAGTAGAGTTGGATGGCAGAGAGGAAGTGCATGTTGGGAGGAGAAGGGAGAATAAGTCATGTTTAAAATAATTATATTTTAACAGGTTGAAGCCAAACAAGGAAGGAGTGTGATTATAAGAGGACTGGATGGTGTTGAAAGTGTAGTGCAAAAGGGATTCCAATGATGATCCTGTTGTTCAAGGGCTTACAGAAACCTGGTGTCAGCCTTACACACTACCATTTAAAGGAGGCTCCCATAAGAACAGAAGTCTAAAATTTACCCAACTGTACCACTTTGAACCAGTTTCAAAGTTATGGAAATGCCATCAAAGAATCAGGAGCCAACAAAATTGGGTCATAACTGAAGCAGAGAGCCCTGTGGGCCTATTGGTGAGATTGGAGTACCTTGGTGAGGCTAGACGGTGCTTGCATTTAGGGCTGGGCCCTTTGGCCTAGGGCTGACACAGGACTATATGAGGGCAGCACTGGGTGCCAAGGGATGGAACTGAACTATATCTGCCAAAATTTTGGCTGAATTGTAGGGAGTGGATGAACATTAGTGAAGTAGATTTGTCCTCCTCTAGGAACGATGCTGACCAATGGGTTATTTTGCAACGGATAGTTTGACGTAAGTATAACTTGATGATGCCTTAAACCCAAAGGATAAAAGATGGAAAAAGTAATACTAAAAGGACCACTGGAGCTTAAAGAAGTGACAGTTAAAATTATTGTTTGAATGAACTACATCTTAAAATGCTTGAACGGAGCGGTCCTGTTGCACCTAGATTTTGTCTGAGGTGTTAGAGGATAGTGGAAATTGTCTCGTCTGTCCTCACTTTAACCTTGAATGTGGTAGGCAGAGAGCCATCTGCCTCACAGCTGTTACTGAAAGAACTGTGCTGGTTGGCTTCCAAGATTGAAAAAATGACCTTGGAGAGGGGGGAAAGGGGGTGTTTTGGAGGATATGGAGGGGACTGGAAAGCCATCCTAAATCTTTTCCAACTTACTTGTGTACTCCTCTGAAGCACCATTGCTGGAAGAAGCTGTCTAGCGAAAAATGCCATGTTCAGAGGATGGGGAGGTGAGGATTGCGGCTGCTGCTTCTCTTACCCTCATTGCAGCAGGGAATTGGATACATGGAATCCTGTACATTCAAAAGCTTCTGTTTCTTGAAGGCACAACCCATAGGATTCTGCCTGCAACAGGCTATGATAATAAGAGTAGTTAAAGAGTGGCAAAATGCTTGATTCTGCTGCTACATATGTACTATATGTAGTTATGGGTGGTGTTATGTAGAGATTAGAAGTCTACTGTGATAATTTTGAATGTAGTTCCAGGATTATAATTATTCCAGATTATCCAGAGTAAAAGGTTATGTAGTTATGAATGCTAAGATAAATTAAACATTTTGAATAAATAAGTCCAACTAGAGGAGGTAGTCACAAATGAGAACAGAAAAAAAGATGTGATGTTTCAGTGGTGAGGAAAAATGATTCGAGTATTGAATGATTATGTTCGGAGAGATGCTTGAATGCATGTCTTTGGCTAAAGCGAGCAAGAAAGGCCTTGGCTCTCAGTACTGTATGTTTGTCCTGGAGAATTCATTTGTTCTAGAGAGTGAAATAAAAGTCAAGTAATGGTTCATGGTTTTTCTTGGCATATGATCTGGCATAAACTAAATATGCGATTTTCATGTGTAAGGTAGGTATGGATTGAATTAACTGCTGTCCTAGTGTATGCAAGTTTGCTGAAAGCTCTTTTCTGCTTTGCTAAAAGGAATGATAGCTTCTCTAGTGTAGGTAATGGTTTATCTGGGGATGAAGGCTGACAGGAAGAAAATTGCTGTGTTTGAAACATGGTGCTGAAGGAGAGCAATACCCTTGACTAGAAAGCCAGACCTTTGCCTGGAAGAAGACATGAAAAAACTGAACCTGTCCTAATTTGGGCACATGATGAGAAGGCAAGAGTCAGTGGAGAAGACAATTGTGCTAAGGAAAGTCAGAGTCAGAAGAAGAGAAGGAAGACCAACTATGCTATGGATCAATTCCATAAAGGATGTCACAGCCCTGAATTTACAAGAACTGAGCAGGACTGTTAAGGACAGGATATTTTGGAGGGTATTCATTTATAGAGTTGCCATAAGTTGGAGATGACTTGAGAGTACATAACAACTTGGGTATATGGGTCTTCTGTGCAATGCATTTTTTACCTCAGTTGTAAAAAAGAAACACAAGTATATCATGGTTCAGTTTAACTGCATTCTAATATGTACACAGTCTACCAAGCTATGAGAGAGAGTGCATGTTAAAATAATCACCCATGTAAGTAGTGGCATATATTCCTTCTCATCAAAACAATATGAAATCATCCAAGTGATCTATACTAACAAACCGCCATGCTTGTAATATCATATTTGCTCATGAAATTCGAATTTTCACTGGTTCTCAGCTGCCTGATTGTACGCTGCTCATGTATTGCTTTGACGTCAGAAGGTGTCTTGGTTTGCACAATCAGAGGATGGTTAACAGGTCACAGTAACTTGTTAACCATCTGGTTCATGCTGGCTGACTTTCATAATTGCTCTTGCTGGGTGCAGCTTTTTTTGTTGTCTGAGGATGGTTTTTAGGATGCTTAATACCCTTAATTAATGGCCCATTGTAGGGTTGTGTTGTGGTTTGTTAACTTGCTGGGCTTGGGCAATTTGAGAAGCTGTAGTAGTGAACAGCCTGGTGCCTAGGGGTGCTCCAGTGATTGTGCAAACCAGGTTGTACAGATCAGGCTTGCAGAGAAGGAGGAGAGTTTGAGGAGAGCAGTGCAAGAGTGAAGAGTAATAGTGGGCTTTTTTTGTGGCGGGGGGTGAACAAAAGCAGCCTAATGTCACAAGATAATTCTGTAGCTAATTCAGAAGTAAGTAAGAAGTTTTCACCTGCTTTTTAGGGGAGTGCATTTACTATTCACCATGGTTTGTCAGTGCAGAAATAATTACA